TGTCTAATAATTATGTGCTTGTGAAAATGGCTTTGTTTGTGTGCAAGTCTGATATATTTTGCCATCAGTGAAAATTTGGGGCTAAACATGTACTCAGTGTATTTACTGAATAAGTGTCACTGTGTCTAAACAGACACCAACCAGACATCAGTAGAAACAACGGTGGCAGCATGCCTGCCAGTCCATCTCCATGGCAGCAAGGACCTCCACGTCGGTGTAGTGCTGCAGAGTTAATCCATGGAGTCTGGGCCCGAGCTCCATCTTTCCTGGTCGGCGCGAGCTCCATCTTCTCCTGACCGACGTGAGTTTCGGCCCCTCCGGGGAGGCGTAGAAGGGCTGCAGTGGTGCGGGACGGGCGAGCTTGCAGCGACATCCCGAGCTGCGGTGGCGTGAGCAACGGGAGGGCTGCGGGGGTGCGAGGCACTGCGTGGGGAGTGGGAGGAGTAGCGGCGGTGCGTGGTGCAGGAAGACAGCAGCAGCGCGAGGCACTACGACGCGTGGCGCGGGAGGACAGCAGCAGCACAAGGCCCTATGTGCAGCGCCAACGCGGGCGGAGCAGCGGCGGCGCGCGGCGTGCGGCGCGGTAGGGCGGCGGCGTACAGTGCGGAGAGTTGTGTCCTTGTGGCCCGGCCCATGAGGTGAGATGGATTTTTTGTTTAAGCCAATGGAATCTCTTTGAACGGTGGATTGGAGGCCGAAAGCTACGCGGTGCCTTGCCAGAGGAAAGGCACCGAATCTGAGTCCCGATGTGATCCCTTTGCCTTCGCTGTCCCTCGGCCCCAGGTCCTGTTTTTGACCCGTTTCAAAGGCACGGCGACGCCACGTAATAATAATAATGTAATACTGGTGGCAGCGGATCGAGGAATTAAACATAATATATGACCAATTTGCTTAGAACAAACAAATAAAATTGACGAAAGGGTCTGTAGCCTAGAGTATCTATGGTGACTTTGCGTGCGTAGTGAGCGTTTGTGTTATATCGTGTAATTTGCGAAAAAAATACGATTAGAGATGGATTGAAAAAATAAAGATATTATCTGTGGTATCTACTGAAAAAAAAATTATAGCATCTATAGTCATCCAGACTTAAGACTTGTGATGTGTGATTGGATTGGAAATAAAAAAAACAAATATGATTGGAGATAGATTATTTGGCGTTGGCTTGAAAAAACCATCGATATGGTGGCAAATAAATGCTAAATGCCTAAAATGAAGAAAAAAATTTATTTGTGGTATCAACTGAAAAAAAAAATCACATCTATAGTCATCCAGACTTAGAATTGCGATGTGATTGGATTGGAAATTAGCTTACCTATTGTCTACTTAGGGAGAGACTAGATCACTTTGTGTGTATGTAGCCCTTGGGATCATGCCTCCTCGATTGGGGCTGTAGGACGACGGTGGCGATGCCGCCTTGCCGCTTGATGGTGGTGTAGCCGTGTAGAAGGCGTGTCCATCCGCGAGGTAGGCTGACGAGCCAATAAGCGCGCATGACTACCGAGATTTCAAGAATTGGCGTGGACATACACGATGAGAACATTAGAACAAGACCAAACATCATCAAGAAGAAAAAAAGGGTTGCTTTTTGCCTGATTCCCTTGGAACTGCAAAACGAAGGTTCTGCTGCAGACTGACCGTGTCGCATGCGTACGTCCGCGAGACCTCGAGTTCAACCGCCCGCACCGCAGCGCGTGCAGGATGAGACGAACGAGTCGCGTGGCAGACGCCCGAGACGCCGCCGGCCCGCCGCAGCATGCACGGCATCCGGCCCAGGAAACAAACGGCCGCCGGAAACGAGGCGACGGCAAGGGAAACCCGCCCGGCCACGTGGGTCGCGTGCAGTGTAGGGGGTCGGGAGTGACACGTACGACGACTCACTGCCACTGAGCAGCTCGCGTACGTAGCAGCGCAGGCGCAGGCAGCAGAGCCCACACCGAGACGTACGTAACGTAGCGGCTAGGAACCCTGAATCGCCGCTGCAGGTCGAGCTAGATGGGCCGTCGTCGAGGAGCGGCGTCGGCCGCTGCAGGCGCGCTGCTCCTGCTGCTCCTGCTCGTCGGGGCGGCTGCCAGAGCGCGTGACGCGGCGGTGGCTGCGAGGGTGCCGGCGATGTTCGTGTTCGGCGACTCGCTGGTGGACGACGGAAACAACGACGCGCTCGCCAGGGCCGACTACTACCCCTACGGCGTCGACTTCCCGCCGCTGGGCGCTGCCACCGGCAGGTTCTGCAACGGCAAGACCGTCGCCGACGCCTTGTGTCAGTGGCCGGCCACTTGTGTCGTCTCCATCAGATTATTCAACTCTGCCGGCCTGCAACCCATCCGTTCCGTTGTTTCTTTCCTTCCATTCCAGGTGATCTTCTGGGCCTCCAGTACGTACCGCCGTACACGAGCACCCGCGGCCTGAACGGGACGGCGGCGGCGGCGCTGCTCGGCGGCGTCAACTACGCGTCGGCGGCGGGGGGCATCCTGGACGAGACAGGGCAGCACCTGGTGTGTGTGTGTGTGTGTGCACGACGAAAAGCTTCAGTTTTTGTGACACTGACGGTGGCACTAGGCCGAGGCGCTGAGGCTGAGCAACTCACTTTGCTTGCACTTGCAGGGTGACAGGTTCAGCCTGAGCCAGCAGGTGCTGAACCTGGAGGCGACGCTGGACGGCGCCATCAGGCCCCTGTTCGGCAGAGACCAGGGCCGGTACGAGCGGCACCTCACGCGGTCGGTCGCCGTCGTGGTGGTCGGCGGCAACGACTACCTCAACAACTACCTCCTCACCCCGCTCGGCGTCGGCTACGATTCCGGCGACCGGTACCGCCCCGACGAGTACGCCGCGCTCCTGCTCGACCACTACGCCCGCCAGATACTGGTACGGTCAGCCGGTCAGTCAGAGTGGGTGAGAGTAGCTAGAGAACAGTGACAGTCGATCGATCGAGCTCAGCTGCTCCAACCAATTCCTGTGACTTGTACGCATTTTTGAACTACTATTGCAGGCTCTGCACAGCCTTGGGCTGAGGAAGTTTCTACTGGCCGGTGTGGGCCCGCTGGGCTGCACCCCGGGCCTGCGGGCCTCGGCCGGGACGGGCCGACAAGGCCAGTGCGCGGAGCAGGTGAACCAGATGGTGGGGCTCTTCAACCAGGGGCTCGGATCGCTCGTCGACCAGCTCAACGCCGACCACCGCCCTGCCGCCGCCTTCGTCTACGGCAACACCTACGCCGCCGTCCAGGACATGATCCACAACCCCGGCGAATACGGTTTTACGGTGGTGGACAGCGGGTGCTGCGGGCTGGGGCCGATCGTCACCTGCGGCCTCTGCGTGCCGTTGGTGGCGCCGTGCGGCGAGCGGGGGCGGTACGTGTTCTGGGACGCCTACCACCCGACGCAGGCGGCCAACCTGGTGCTGGCGCAGATGGCTTTCGACGGAACGCCGGAGCACGTCTACCCTCTCAATCTCCGGCAGCTGGCTGAGCTATAGACGAACATATATATGCGTGTACGTACTTCTTCAGACAAACGTGCATGATTATGGATATATATATGATACGTGGCCCGTTGTACGACCGCAAAGAGGTTCAGAGATCGATCCATGCATGTCCTTAGTTCGTAATTCTAATAGACTAAGCATGCACGGTTATGAACAAAACAAGATCCGAAGACGGCTAAGCAAAGCACGATTATCATTGGCGCCAATACTTAAGGTATAGGGCTATATAGGCACATACATATGCAGCAAAGTGGTGGGTACATACATGTAGAGTTCCCCAATTAATATCGCCATGCAAATACATATATAGTTGACGATGATGAGTTCATGTAAACTAATTAAATGTGTCTTAAAGAGCTAGATATGCATGGTACATTAGCCTCTCAGAAGGAAGCTAAATACAATTCATAGTGTCTGTTACATAAATCGTTGACGAACAATGTAATGATAATATATATACGTCTGTCATCATAATAAGGGGTTTTAATACGTAATCATTCATCTGATGATGATGAAGGATCAGAAGCTTGGCTTGGCCTAACCATGTCTGGCTTGCTTGGTACGGTGAAGAGGACGACAGATCAGTGTGATGATGATCAATGCATGATGATATATGGGAGAGGAAGGGAAGGACCAAAACAGAGATTAAAATGGGCAAGAGCTCCTAGCTATCCTAGCTAGTTATTAGTTGCATTGGTTCATGAAGATGTATATATATTATATATGACTAGCACAAATTGACCGGTAATTTCAGTAAACCTTCTGTGTGCATCTCCACAAACTTCTGTGGAACTCACACATGGCTCGTGAAAATGCCATCTTGAGAGAGATGACAGGATTAGTTGAGTAACGCTGCACATGAAAACCAGCAGCGACCCATCGGTTCAGTTCGTCCTTGCACTCTTCCATAAGAGTGCAAAGAACAGTTAGGAAAGCTCGATCTATGCCTAATAGCTAAAGTAATATTATGATGTATGGAACTACATGGCGACTAACAAAAACAGGTGCTGACTGCTGGTGACCTTTATGCATGGCGACTACAAAGTAATATTATATTCTTTCTACGACACTGATCAGTGATGAGCTGGACATTATGGATTCATCAGGGGATTTTATAGCACAAATAATAAAGGATGATGCATGGAAAATTGGACCTGCCATGGTCCTTTTGCATTGGTTAGTAGTCAGGCGAATGCAGCACCCAACCCAGAGTGAGCATCGCCGTCAACAAGTTAGTCAAGTCTCTCATCAAGTGTTCGTACGTGCAGGCGAGCAGATGCATGTGTGCATGCATGGTGAGTACCTAGCTATCACACACGTACTTCTGCATGCCTGCACTATCATTTGAAGCCATCCAAGACTTGTTAAGAGAGCTAGCAGAGATGCATGATATGCGTTGACTGTTTGGATATACTGACTGACTCATGTAATGTACCGAAGGAATTGAAGGAGATAGGTGCTTGCATGCATGGTTGATGGTTGAGAGACTGGTGGTTGTCTAGCAGCGCGCCATGGTGGTTGTCTAGGCCAAGCTGGGCTTCTGATCGGGTGCTGCAGCAGCCAGGGGAGAAGGAACCAGTCTGCAGTATTGGTACTGCTGCGCTGTCGGTGCTGCCAGAGTTGGAGATGTCAGAGACATTGTCATGCCTGAAAAATCACTCTCTGTTAGTTACTTAGTTTTACTTAACAGAAATGCAAGAGTGAAAACAAAAGGGAGGAAATCTGTCGTGAAAAATTAGGTTATACCTGCTTGGGCAATGGAATTAGGAGTAAACGCCACCGCGCCGCCGTACTGCTGGAGGCCGCCGGCAACGCCAGCGGCCAGGGTGGTCGCCGCCGCCGTGGCACCCACCGCAGCCGCAGCAGCGTACTGGTACAACTGGGGGTACTGCACCATGCTGTACCCACCAGCGGCCGCCGCGCTCGCCGGACCGTACTGAAAGTAGGGGTACAGTCCGGACGGGTTGGCCGCCGCCGCCGCCGCCGCCGCCTCCATTGTTAGCCCCGCCGGCACCGTCGCTGCTGCTCCTCCGCTGCCCAAGACGGCGTACTGCTGTAGCTGGGCTCCCTGCTGCAGACCAGCGTAGGGCTGATAGTAGCTCTGCAAATTTTTTGCATGCATGCATGCGTAGACGATGCATGATCAGTACGTACGACATATGTCAAAATACTACTAGGCAGTGCAAGGGAATCTTTGTGACAAAGCAAAACTCTAAAAACGTCTTTGACAAAATGAATATGTGTACCAGCGGATAGCCGTAGTCCAAGAAATAGGGAGAGTACCTGCAATTACAAATAAGTCTTAGTCACTGAAACTAGCACCATATATCATATTACTACCAAGAAAAAACAAGACTGTAATCAGGTTAAGCACGCATGCGAGATCGTTTCATAAATCATAATGTGTGATGTCAAATACAGTCGTTGGAACAGCTTCTTTCACTACCAATCGATCGTTGATCGTCATTGCATCATGCCATGCCAATATGCCATGCCGTGAAAAGGACATGAGGGAGTTTCGACGGTGCATGGGATCCATGCATGCTTGCATTGCATGGGTCAAGAAGCAAGACCAGCTTGGCCCTTTGACCGTGCACGTAGATCAAAGCAGGACCGGAGAAAGCACGCGGCATGCGAGCCTGGCCGCATGCTGCTACTCTGCAAGAAGAAAGCTAGGAGGAACCAGCCAGCAGCGCAGCTTTTTCCAAAGAGATCTGCCCCACATGGCAGTCACTGTAATATATGCATTATACGAGACCTGTGTACTTGCTGTATAAAAATGCCGCATGCTCTCAGTCACACATGATGATGAGGTGCCCACGCGCTCTTACACTTACACACCTACTAGGTCTCTGTTGTATATACGGTCCTGTTCGCTGGTGGGTTTCTGGGCTGATAAACCCGACTGATGCTAGTTTATTGTGAAAGAAAAACACTGTATCATGGCTGATAAGTCCTGACTGAAACCAACAAGCGAACAGGCTGAGTATCTGGTGGACTGGTGTGAGCTAACTAATAGGCCCCGTTCGCTGGTCTGAATCTTGGCTGAAACTGGCTGAAAACACTGTTCCGGCTGAATTGTTGTGAGAGCAAGCCAAATATGCCGAATATGAGATAAGCCGAACATGGCCTAAGCAACCTAAGTAATCTACGGATACTCCGAAACCTTCAACCCTACATATCCATTCCAAATTTTAAATCATTCTGAATTTTCTACATATATAACTTGTACTATGTATTGTAGACATAATACATCTTTAATTTGAAGATAAGTAGCAAAAACAATGTATCTATAAATCAAAAGCTAGAATGGGGAGTAGTAGCTGCTAGGTGTGCAGTGAGCAAGCTATCAAGCATAAACACTAAGCAAGCTAGCAAGCATATAAAGGAGCGTATATATGCACGCAGCAATGTACAGTAGGCTGGAACAGGGAGTGCATGATCTGATATCTGTAGTGGCGGAGCTAGCTGTGGCCCATGGGCACATGCAGGAAGATGAGGTGCACGTGCACATGCCTGGGTGATTGGACGCGGTGCAGTGGCTGGCCCCTACTACCATTAACGACAGAGCAGAGAGGCCGGCATGCAAGCAGAGGCCGGCGCTGCCTTTAACCGAAACCCGAGTCTTTACAGCTAGCGCAGCAGTGCAGATCGGGAGACACACAGATGGATCGATCGATAGACCGGCCGGCCGGCATGCATGCATCAGAAGCTAGTAGCTGTGATGGTGGCCACTGCCCATTGGCCAGTGCATGCAAGGTGTAGGATAGAAGAGTACGACTCACCCGGCGTACACACTGTAAGTAGGAAATCCTTGCTGGATGCCATGATCGGCCGCCGGGACGAAGCTCATCGGGCTGGCACCACCAACACCAGCTGTTTGAAAGGACTTCATTGTTGCCCGCATGTTGTTGCTGCCTCCCCCGTAAACATGAGCTGCGGCATATCCATCCATATATATGCAAGGAACACACAGTTAAACAGATAATAAGTGAAAGATGTTAGTGTGCTAGTCAAAATTATTAGGTTACATTGTTAATTAATTCTTGGAGAATTGATTTGCAAAGTCGTAAACGGCACACTAACAAGCCCACGGTTATATTAATTCTAGAAGTAAGATTCATGTAGGAACAAATGCAGTGCCATGATTTTATGCATGCACTCAATGGAAGATCTAGATAAACTACTGGAAGTGATTTCGTAGTAATGCATCTGCTACTAGTATTCAATTTGCAATGTCATGACCAAGAATGCAGTAGACAGTACTATTAAAGAGGCCAGCCGGGCATCAGCAGCTAATAAGAAAGGTTTGTACTAATAGCAGATGCAGACATGCAGTACGTTCTATGGTTAGTTAGTTATTAGTCAGACAAGGGTGTACGGAAGGAAGATAATTTTGTAGAGGACAAGGACATCAAAGCACACTGACGAATATAGCTGCATGCAGCTGCACCTGCAGGATTGGAAGAAGCAAGCTAGCCTGGAAGGAACAACCCCCAAGAATAACTAACCACGCTTGCTTTTAGCGCTTTGCAGAAAGCTGGAGGTGATGCAGCTTTTTTTCATCTTACGGAAATACTGTCGGGGGTACTATACCCGGATACTATGTTGTTTGTTTTGACCCTTTTTATTTGCACGATACATATATACTGCATAGCATCTTGCCTTTAATGGAAGATATATATTATGCAATGCAACATTAATATAATTGATCTTGCAAAATAGCTAGCACCACATCATATACCCAATATATATAGTGACAAAATTAAACTTGAACTAATTATTACTAGTTAGTTATTATTCAGTTGATTCTAAACAAAAAGGCACCATGCATTCCCTGCTGCTTCAGACAATATTTGATTTGATTCTAAAAGTGCAGTGCCTGAAATATTGTCTAGATTAGTTTAAGGCAGCACTAATGCAAGAAGCTATAGAAAACACAGCTTAATTAGCAGCAGCAACGTAGTTTATGCGCAAGCCATATATACATCAACATAAAATGATGCAAAGAGATGCACATTAATAAAGGCAAAAGCCTATATGAACTACATGATTGATGTATATATATATCAGTTATGTCCTTATTAATGAACAAAGAGTCAACAGTATATATATCTGGCATGAATTAAGAAGCTCAATCAGGCTTTATATTGCTTAAAATTTCTTTTGATGAACATTAATTAATTTGTTGATGAAACGATTTACTAGTTTCATGGTTAAAGAGTGAAGACAAATCCAATAATGAACAATATAATTACCATATGGTTGCAGATAGGGAGGCAGCAGTGCTGTCTTGGATTTGTTGACGCCGAGATAGGCAAGATTGCAGTTGGCCCTCCTTCCATCAATCACCGGGTACGGATCGATGCAAGCTCTCATCGCCGCCTCTGGCTCACCGAAAGTTACCTGCAATATCCAAGCTCTTATAACCATCAACAAACTATTTCAATACCGTATATATTAAGCTCTTGATCAGTTCAATGGTTCATGTGTGCAGCTTGTTAATTATTGGACACTAATTAACTAACTCTTTGGTTATTCAACTGAATTGATGAGGATATATACACAATTAACGAAGAACTTAAAAAGGTTAGGATTAGAGAAGAAATAGTAAACCATATGTTAACAAACCAGGAAATTATATAGGATGGTTCTGAATGAAGAGAAAAAAAGGGGGGAAGGGTTTGGAACTCACAAATCCGTATCCCTTGGATCTGCCGGTGTTCTTGTCGGTGATGACGACGGCCTCAAGGATGTCGCCGAACTGCTGGAAGTAGGCCCGCATGCCCTCCTTGTGCGTCTCCCACGCAAGGCCCCCCACGAACAACTTGGTGAACGTCGTGTCGCCGAACTGCCCCGCGCCACCGCCGCCACCACCACCGCCGGACATCGCCTGAGACATATCTGATTATCTGTACAGTATCCTCGGCCGGCCCTCACTCACTATGTATGTATCCAACAGCTACGTACTGCCAGGCCCCTGATCTCCCCCTTGTTCCTCTTCTGGCTTAGAGCTGGCCGATGATCCTCTCTCTTTCTGCACCCCGAGCTCCCCTCGCTCCTTGAATTGATCTGTCTACCTCTGGCGGTATCCACTATCCAGTATCCACCAACCGAGAAGACTACTAACCTTGTGTTTGGGGGTCAGAAAGGCGAGGTGTGATCTCAAGGCTTGATATGCAAAGGAGGAAAGGCTACCTCTCTCCCTCCAAGCACCAACCCTAGCTAGCTAGCCTAGCTACAGCTGCCTGGCCTGATCTCTCTAACTTGCAGAGAAGGGGGTAGGAACTAGGAAGAGAGAAGAGGGGAGAGAGAGAGAGAAGCTAAAGTTGGCTGCAGGCAAAGGGGAAAGAAAGGAAGAGGAGAGAAGAGGTAGGACCTGGCACCGTTATATAGCTAGCTAGTCCACCAGTACCACCTCTCACTCTCAGTATCTCTACGCCACATTTGCTGCTTGGCCGTCCTTCCTTGAAAAATGTAGGCTCCACAAAAGTACTGCTACAGTACCCTGCTTGCATGATCTCAGCTATGTATAAATAGTGTACGGTTTCATACATATTATCGTACATTTATGTATACCTTCAATTGAGAAAGCTAGCCAAAAAAAAAAGGGATGTGGAACACTAGTAGCAGACTAGCAGGTCTACAGATTTTACAGATCTACCCAATGAAACAAATTTTGGTAATGATAATGAGTTTGTCTATCTCTGCTGCCTTTCGACTGTGTGGATATGAAGTAGGAACTGGCAAGATGCATTGCACGCTAACGCCCCAGCTGTCGTAGCTAGCTAGGATAGTGATTATTATTGATGAGCAAACCTGTAATACGACGGAACGAAAGCGACAGATCGAGTTCTATCTCATCAGTGTTATATATTAACTATCCAGATTGCAATACATAATTTATTGCCTGTAGAAGCAGTACTGCTGATCATTATCTTTGATTTTGGCTCATCAATAGTGAGCAACTAACCAGGTCCCAACATATATATTAAGGTTCCTTTAGTAACATTTTTTTGCTAAATCATATATGCCCTAAGACTGCATCATTTATCAACAATTATAGCTGATACTGCTATTTCATTCTATCCCATCAAATTGTACTATTGTTGTCTCTACTAGCTATGTACCTATTGTTAGAAATACACACAATGATAGATATTTGTGTGGTCCAAACTTGTAACAAAAGCAAGTGACCATCCATACTGAATTGTTCTTGTGTAATGAGAACAGAGGGTGACCATAGCCAGTTATAAAAATGATACCAAGTAAAAGGCGTACCGACAGAAAATTCCGCAACCAAATAACCCCACACCAGAGAAAAAAGAGGAGATCGAATATGTGAATCTTGTCACAGAAAGGTCTCCATGATATTATTGCTGAGTGGGAGACCAGTACATGAATCTTCCTTTGAGATGACAGCTAGGGTGCTGGATATATATGTAGAGCCTGTATGCTAGTGTCAGCTATGTACAGCTCTGGTCACCAGGACACACGTACGTCATACAGCTAAGAATGTTGTACTTAATAATTATATTATCATAATTTTTTATTTGTTAGAAAGCATCACAGATTGCAAGTCACAATATATATCCAAAACCGCGTGTTATTGAAAATTGGAATAGTATACCACTTCTGCTTCGTGTGTCTTGCGTGTATGGAGATATATATGTGGTCAAAACCGTGTTGGTGTTGATACATGTTTCTGACCAAGCTTTATGCATACAGTGTTGACTTCTGTGAGTTTTGGTTGAGTTTGGTTTCAGTATATGATTCCATGTACGACGTACAATATTAGTCTCCTGACTTTGCGTCTATATATAGCTAGAAGAGGAGGAATATCTGTATATGAACGCAAGTTGGTGGCTTATGTTTTGTAGCTCGTATATACCTGCAAATGCTTCCATACGCCAGCATGGTCCATAGGAACAGAATAAATTTTGAGGGCTTCATGCATCTTTTATCTCACCGGCTCACAAGTGGCTTTCTGGTGGAATAGTTATGGTTCTCCATTTGCAATTTTGAATGAAGACTTGCGTCACAAGGGAACCCACGCAAATATTCTTGTATAGTTGTATGCATGCTTCTCCCCAAAGTCAATTGATTCACACACTTTTCTCTAGTTGGTCTCTGGAAGAACCCTTCTCAGAGATAAAGTTTGAAATCCACAAACAACGGCAGTGGCAGAATCATGCAAAAATGCAGTGACAGAACTTTTTTTTTTTTTTGGGACGAAACAGTGACAGAACTTTGCAAGCATTTTGTTAAATTCAGAAGGAGAGCGACAGATTATCCAAATATTTGACTTACGGCATGTTCCTCTTTTGTCCAGCTACTATTCATTCACCCATGAACTGTCACAACTGTTGAGAAATAATATATATGCTACCCAGCAACATCATTGATCGTTGTGGGAAGAAAGGAGAGCCTCCAGAAAGTGACGCACGGCCTGTGCAATTCTCCAAGGATGCTGTGATAAAAAGAGGTGGGAGTGTCGTCATGCAGTTCCCCGTGACCACTCCAATCACCTCATGAGAAAGACTTGGATTTCAAAGGTTGTTATTCACATAATCAGAAATCACCTCACTGCTTATTCAGGTGTTGGTGGCCAAGTAGTGAGGCCAACTCAGAGGATACTTTCTTGAGCAGTACAATATAGTATCTCTCGCAGTAGCTGGTAATGTATACTTTTCCACAGCTGTCATATGGGTCCCAGCTCCCAAACTAACTTAGCTTTTGACAGCAAGGAGAGAGCACTTTTAGAAGGATATGAAAGATACACCACCGCATTTGGTGACAGATGACAGATACGGCTGAATCTGTTGTGCTGGCATACATCAAGCCTTTCAAGGTAAACCACCACAAAAATAAGCTTAATTATAGCTGACAACAGAAGGGACAGAAAGCTGTAACCACTAATCAGCATAATATGACGATTCAGTACAGCAAAGTCTAACATTGATATCATTCAAACTGAGTGATGAGGAACACCCATGTTATGATTAGGTGGCAAGGCAAATTTCTAGCCAACAAGGTAATTATGTGAGACAAGGTAATCACACTTCGCCCCAGTTGGCTAAATCGTCATGATCAGAAACAACAGCGTCTTCAGAAATGCTGGTCATGCTTTCAGTCTCATCGTCATTAACATCATATTCACTACTGGAACTATCTTCTTCATCAGATTCATAAACATCACAGATGTGGAGATCAGAAAATTGATTGGTAGCCAGATGAGGCTCTTGGTCCTTCCCTTGATCCAATCCCCCCATTTTAAGCAAAGAAGCTTCTCTATCATCACCACAAACAAAATCAGCTTTCTGGGATTGTGGATTTCCATAAAGTGCAACATGCCGATAATAAAGTTCGAGCTCCTTTTCAGATATTGCAATGAAACGCCGAACTGTCTCCAGCGACTGTTCATATTTTGATTTTTCAAGTGCCTGATGATCAAAGAAGGGCAGATGTAAGGGCATTTAAAAGATGTATGCAGATGCAGCAGATCTAGAATTGGCATGATGGCTAATTATCAAGACAAGAGGATTGCAAAAACCTGAGCTGTGCATTAGGTTACATGAGCTGGGAACACGGGAGGTATGATGCAGACATGAATTAAATCAATGAAACGGTTTAACAAGTTTTACTAGTTTATTGTTCTGTGCATATCTATTGTGTTATAAAACATAAAGGGAGCAGAGAGCCATTGCATTTTGATAGCATACATAAGCATGCATCAATCTATCTACAGCAACGGCAAAACCTTTAAGTCTCAAGCGAGTTGGGTTACACTAGAGGGGGGAACCAACAAGAATAAACAAACAATTTGCCAGCTCTGAACGAGAGCTACTAGTGAAGAGGTATAAAGAGCTAAAAAAAAGGGCAGACCCAGTGCCGGTGGCTCCCAGAGCTGTGGACCAATATATCTTTGGAAACAAAATCATTTGCAGCATCCATAAACAAAGATTCGTTGTTTCCATACCAACAAAATTAAACTAAAAACATCCTAATTACCTTTTTCTTTGACAGCGTATCAATAGGTGACATAACTTCTGGCTGAACATAGTTCTTTCCTCGATAGAAGACTATGGTGTCATCTCCAATGATGTTGACAGGGATACCGCCACTCAGTCGGGCTATCTCATTTGCATATTCCTGGATCTGCCCTGGTTTGCAGGGCTTACATATGACCTTCACAGTTTCATGTTTTTTCCAATGCAAATGCATGTTCAGAATTACGCCTCAAACACTCCTCGCCTTCCAACAGGGACATAATTTGATTTTTTCTGTGAAACCTTCTTCAAGTAAAATCTTTCCTCGCCACTAAGATCATCTGGTTTAGCCATAGGGCCTTGAGCTTTGGCAATCTCATACTTCTTTAGTTTTTCACCAACCTAGCTTCCTTTAGTTTGGCCTGAAAGAGAAAAGGCTCATTTCAATTTATTTTCTCCTAAGAAACCAAATAAATAAAAGGGACAAATCAAACTGTCTTCATTAAACAATATAGTTTTCAATTAGGGTTCAAACAAATTAAATGGGCTTTAATACAAAGAACTACACTACATTGACTCATAGAAACAAGAGCAGAGAAAACAATTTTAAAGGACATGTTCTGTAAGAAAACTGACTGTAAGGATAAAACAAGAATGGTGATTCAGATGCTGCATAATAATTAGGAATCTCATTTGCATAATGTCATTGACAGATACATCAAGAAATATGCATGAAGAAATGGATCAGCAAGACATGAGCCAAGCAAACCAGACCAATCCATATAATATGGTAGCATATGTACACTACCTTCTCGATCTTATATTTGAGCCTAGCTTCAGGTGTGGGAAATTTTTGTTTTATCTTCTTTCCCTTGGGCCTGATGCGCCGTGGATCATTTTTATTTGCCTCCTTCCTCTTCTTCTTTTCCTTCTTCCTCTGAACCTTCAAGCGCTTCTTTGTCAAATACCTTCTCTTTGTGGAGGGCTCCACCTCCTCAATTTGAAACTTGGGTTTTCCATCATCAGACAGAACTAGATTCACTGATCCATAGGTTGCCCATCTCACAGCCAATGAATGCCCAGACAGGTAAAGGGGGCTGAGGAATTTGCTGGGAGAAGCGATAGTAGATCTGTAATAAACAGAAGGAAAATACAAGGAGAACTAAATCAAACCGTCATGCATGAAAAAGGAATCAAAACCATTATGACACCCTTGCTAACACTTGACATGTTAAAATATGCTTCACATCTTGGATTAGTAAACTTCAGACAATAATTTGATTGACTGAGTGGGTAACACTTAATTAGTGAGCTCTCGTGATATATGTTCCAGAACTCAGCAGAAGAGACTACTTGCTACTTACAGAATAACTGGAGTAATAGCTCTGTGGTTTCATATTGCAAAAATCAGTTGTAACCTCTATGTCTAATCGAAAAGGGTAAAAAACATGTTGCGGCCTGAAAAGCCCCAGGATGTTGGGATCATGCAATTAGGCATAAATTCTGCTTATGTGGTGTTTCTCTTTCTCCTTTGGTGTATATGCATACAACTGGGGACTCAAAAGCGGTAAGAATTGAAACTGTTTCATTACCTGAGAGCTGGAGGGTATGGCGAAATTAGTTGCCTCTGGGATATATTCTGGAGTGTGAGCGAAACCAACTTTCTCAGATTTTGACGCGACAGGATACGGGTTGCCATAGCCTACAACTCGTTTGCCAAAGCATTATGAAATTTTGTTGTACGGTGGCATGTACTTCATAGAATCAACCTCACCTGAAAGGAAAATGACGACATTAATTCCTTTTAGCCTCGATGTCAGAATCCAAGGTTCATAAGTTATGTTCGATTTTGGTTGAACAAAAAGCAGATATGCATCAAGTCTTTGAATCTTAGCTACAGCATTTGGGAGGAAAGGAAGCAGAAAACAAGTGTGGCCCATTGCAATCGAAAAATCACTGCAAGATACAATCGTCTATGCATGATGTCATGAACTAGATTGCTACGAGATGCAAGATTCTGCACAGGCAATGACGGAACCGGATTTAATGATTTTTGTCTAGCAAGCCACGTTGCAGCTAACCCTTCACACATCACACCCAACCTCCAATTCGGATGTAACGACTCCTGCAAGGCAAACAGTTTTTCAGCAACTTGGCAGTGCCAGTCAGACAGTCAGGTTTCCGCTCAGCAACTTGGTAAGGTAGCGTTCATCCCATCACGAAATAATTATCAAGGTAGCGTTCATCCCATCCCGAATTATCAAGGTAGCGTTCATCTCAGTTAAGGCCAGTAAACAAAATCCCCAAATAGCACAAGCTACAGACGTGCATTTGGATGAACAGAGGCGGACGGGATTTACATACAGATGAAAAACACACAACGGATGGAGGGTAAAATCCCATCGGCCCGCGCGCGGGGGCAGACGCACATGTGAGGGGAAAGGGAAACAGAGGCGGCGCGGTCTCACCGGGGCAGAGGTCAGTGACGGTGTGCCTCCGCTGTAAGCGTAGCCCCACCTTCCTTCTCCTCCACGGCGTCCCGGCGTCGGCCCGGCACTCCCTCTCCTCCGGCGCGGCGGGAGGGAGAGCACGAATCCACACGGCGTTGGATCCTTTTTTTTTTTTTTTGAGGGGACACGGCGTTGGATCCGAGTTGGGGAGCCCTCGTCGGTCGCCGCTCCCGCGCCGCCTCAGCCCAGCGACCTGGCCGCCTCCGCCCTCCGCCGCCCTGCTGCAGCGCCCATCGCCCGCTGGTGCCTGCCTGCGTCTGCGTTGGGATTTTGTTTGGGAATCCAAAGGCCCAAGCGAGACATGTGGGCTTGTTTCACAGGTGGCCTATGTGGGCCTGGAATACGAAGCAAGCAAGCAGGTGGGGTAATGAGACCACACTGGAAATGCTGGCCTCCATTTCAAACATTTCTAACGATTTTCAAAATGTCAGCCCAGTTGCTGCTGGCATTTGAATTTTGATGCACATTTCTGCACGTTGTCAATTTCAACTCGCACTAAGAATGTAATAGCTCCAGAAAAAAAACGACTTTATTCTGTCATATCTCGATCACAAGTCTTGGACTGGAAACGTATCTATCTATCTATCTACCCCTATAATACACCAGTTAAAATAAATCTACAGCCACATAACAAATGTCTGCTCCACAGTCATGACCTATGTTACATCCACACCCATGAATGCACCTAGAAAATATAACACCATCAAAACAGATGCACCAGATTATCTCTTAGCCGTTCTCTCTCGTTACCCATCCAAATCCGACGGCTCGTGTTTAGTGTGTCTGCCCTCCATCGCCCTCCCACGGACCTCCCACGCGCATGCACCTACAGGTCAGGCTCGCGTTGATTTCGGTTGCCCCTGTCCGACATCTCGATGAATCACGACGCTTCCTTCCCCACCGCGGTTTCCGATCTCGCTCCCGGCCTCCGCTGCGCTTCCCTCCGAGGCATCGCGCCCATCGTCGCGCGCCCCATCTCCCACCGGCCCACGCCTGCGTCCGCCCTCCTCCTCTCACCCCCGCGCGCCGCCACAGCCTCGCGACCCCCGGCCGACGATGTTCCCGACGACCTCTTTCCCTTTCCCTCTCCATCTGCATCTCCCCTCCAAATCCTTCCGCATAGCCTCGATGATGGCGGCTGCATTGGCCCACGGCACCAGGAGACTAAAGGCCCGAGGAAAGAAGACGCGCCCTCCATGGTGCCCTCCTGCGCGGCGCCTGCGTTGTAGGCCATCAGGGCCTCCCGCGTCCTACACGGCAGCAGAGGCCGCAGCCGCATCCGCACCACCAGGAGACCAAAGGCCCGAGGCAAGAAGACGCGCCCTCCATGATGCCCTCCTGCGCGGCGCCTGCGTGGTACGTACGCCATTAGGGCCTCCGTGTCCTGCACGGCGGCAAAGGCCACGGCCGCATACTCCGATCCCTCTCCACGTATAAAAAAATTCAGTCTTTCTCCTGCAGGTGCTATGCACGGCTTCCCCACAGGGCAACCAACTGCCGCAAGAAGTCTAGGCACAACAACGAGGTGAGAACTATCAGTTTTACTTGTTCATTCAATAATTTAATTTGTTAGATCGTACATAGACTATATATGTCACTTTTCATGCTCATTGGTTTTAGTTGATGTTGATGCGTTGTCCATGTTTCTAGGTTTGTTTAGTCGTCTTATACAATACTTTGTTTCAGAGTTATTGTCAAGGTCATTGCATTGGCATCACTGCTTTGAGTAGTCATTTCTTTCAGATTTTCTTGTCAGAATAATTAGATTACGGGTCATCAAGTGTACTTTTGCCCCTTCGTTTGTATATTCTTGGTTTTAAGTGATCATAATTTTTTTTGCTTTTCCAGTCATAGTATCTATAACAAAATAGACTTTTAATTGATGATGAGTTTACTGCTCTGTATACTATATCTGCAGTCATACTTCAATTACTGTCAGCACATTTGCTATTTGGTCATTCTTTCATCTAATCTGTGTCCTTTGATTTTTCAGTTGAGGTCAAAGAAAAGGTCATTGTCTAAGATTGGTGAAAAATGCTCGCTGGAGAGCCTTGTCATGCATGACTAATCGAATGGAATTTCAGGTGCTTAATTAATGGACTTTACTTTAATTTCTGCTCCTTTGATGAATGAAGTTGTAGTACGATAAAGTGTGCTACAATTAGTAGAGATGTTTCTATATATAATAATAATTATTATATTTATTGGACATAAGTGAGATATATCTACATGTATATGGCAGGATATCATAGTGCAGTTCTTTGCTTGCTCGCGTCCACCACCGTGTGTCAGATCCGCGTGTGATGCCCCCGTGAGATATCTCTACATGTATATGGCAGAATATCATAGTGCAGTTCTTTGCTACGGTTTATTTGCTAGCTCGCGTCCACCACCGCATGTCCAATCCACGTGTGATGCCCTTGGCATAAACCCGCCATGCTTCTTAATTATCATCAAGTTCCTCATCAAGCTAACCAGAGGGAGGAGGACCCTCGAAACATGCTCGATTATAGCCTAATAAATACACTGCCATCTAATTTACACAGTCCAGATGGCATTTACCGATTTACAAATTTTAGAAGTCCTCATGGAAATACTGTTTAAAATATCAAGGGTTTAAGAACCAATGGTTTGTTTATTGAACAAAATAAGTTTTTATCCGGCTGAGAGCTCTAATATTCACACTTGACCGTAATAATAAGTCTAAGTAGCAATATTGCCTTCTTTAAAATAAGCTTGACCTATAGGAAATGAATTCAAAATGTCAAGGTTTAAGAACCAATGATCTGTTTGTTGAATAAAAGAGTTTTTATCCAGCCGAAAACTCTAATATTCACACTTGACTAAGAGATATGTGATGCTTAAACAATTAATTTAAAATAAGCTTGACCTAGAGGAAATGAATTCAAATTGTCAAGGGTTTCAGAACAAATGTTCTGTTTGTTGAATAAAAAGAGTTTTTATCTAACTGAAAATTCTAATATTCACGCTTGACCAAGAGATATGGTATATCTAAATAGTTAATTTGGCCCGCTCTTGAGAGGCAGGAATTGATGCATTTGCTTAATTGTTAAATTGTATGTACAAATATCAATTAAGTTTTTAAGCCTCTTGAAACTTCCTTACCAAAGTTTGTCCTTAATTTATTAAGTGTGCGTATATAGTTCTTCTATTGTGAATAAAGTTTTATGATACACGTGAGTGCTTTGACGCAAATTGATACTCAAACCTGCTCACCAATTTGTTTTCCCTATCAAAGAGCCTCTATCCATAAATGTTATGATCAATGGCACTGCAGTATATTTTGTATCCATCTACATATAAATAATCGGTCAGTAGCTCTGTTATATTTTGCTCCAGATTCAAGAAATGTATATTTGATTTTACTCCTTGACTCCAATATGCTCACTTCAGTATTTAATCGAATGTTCGTGTAGCTCATGGTGATCCCGCTTGTGCAGAGTACGCCTTTCAAGTACAAGGTAACATTAGGCAGGTCAAGAGCATACGGTTCATGTAGTCGCTTAAACCTCAAACTTGTCGACAAGAGCACGGTGCAAGTGGAGTTCGACAAGAAGGATGGCAAGGGGTTTGTGAAGGAAGCACTAGAGAGGTACCCAGACCTGGTGAACATGCGCAAGTGAGTTCATTGAGTTCTTTACCAAAAGTGCCAGATACAATATTTATGTCTCTGTTTATTGGATGTGTTTGGTCTTCACCTGAATATATATGTATGCCTAGATCAATATTCTTTATTTTCAATTAGGATAGAGGTGATGGTAATTGTTTATTACTTTGGGCCTAGAATAATATTGATTTGAGTTTGTGAATATTTTGCCGGTATACTTCGCTATGCATTAGAAAAATATTCTTTCCATATGACATTACAAGTGATGCTGTAAATTTTTATGAGTTTATGACTAGGCCAATGATGATATGAGTTCAAGATTGCTTCTATGCATTATAAAAAATTAGGCTTTATGGTTGAGGACTACGATTTTATAGTTATAGTAACTAGATTTAGAAATTTGATTGTTATTTTTCTATTATGGAAGATTTTTCATAGACACGTGTGTGTCGCACGTACATCTCCGCTAGTGTAATCCAATACAAAAGTAGCCCACTCCACTCACTAAAATCCCGGCTGACGGACGACGCGTGGCCCGCACCTTGAGATGCATGGTGGAGCTGTAGTGCACCACCTCCGGCCACGACGTCTCCATCGACAGCACTTCCGACTGCAGGTAGCAGAAGCCGTCGCCGGCGTCGGCGCCGTACACGAACTGCGCCGCCGCGCACAGGCACTCGTCCAGGCACGCCTTCCTGCACGCGGCGTCACTTACCCTCTCCAGCGTCCTTAGGCTGGTGGCCGGGTCGTTGAAGTAGCTCAGCCCGAGCAGCGACACCAACCTTGCCGGCGGCCCGCCGCATGCAGCCAGCGCCGACGCCGTCGGGACGCAGCCGCGGTTGGGCCTCCGGAAGTCCACCGCCCGGAAGTTGGCCGCGTCGGGGCAGCTGCACTGCATGTCCGTGCACACGCCATACGCGCCGCACACCGTCGGGAACGCACAGTCGTCTGGGAAGAGGCGCAGGACGTCGAACACCGGCGCCCACCCCGCGGGATTCCACTCGTACAGCCGGAGGTGCCCGTCGTGCTCCAGCCGCATGTACTGTACCGTCCCTGCGCCGACGGCGGGGAGCTGGATGGTGGCCAGCGGCGTGGAAGCAGCAGGCGGACCACACGACGGCTCCACCGGGGGCGGAGCGGAGCACGAGATCGCCCGTGGCCGTGAGCTCCGCGGACGCGCCCTCCCCGACGTGCCGGCCGCGGTTGGCGGACCAGACCACCTGCGGGATGCCCGCCACGACGGAGGTCATGAGCCCGCCGCTGTTGTAGTACACGACGGCCACGCCGAAGAGGAACTCGGCGCACGGCGGCGCCTGGTGGTTGGTGCAGAAGAAGCCGTACCCCGCCGGGTTGAGGGTGCGCGCCACGGAGCCGTCCGCGTACGTGACGTGGTGCGTGAGGGACGCGTCCGTGTTGGCCCACGCTGTCGAGGGCTTCGTCGTCGGGTAGTCGAACGGCTGCGCGCGGACGACAACGCCGCCGACGAGGAGGAGGGAGAGGGCGAGAGTGAGGGCCACGGCGAGGTGCATCGTCGTCGCGCGCCGCGTCGCAGACCCAGCGGGAGGGATTGGTCAGGAGTTTGACGTGAGGATAGTCGTGGCGATGGGACGCATTTTATAGCAGAGGCAGAGCATGCAGGAGCATCGCGCGGCGGCGGTGGCGGGCGGCCAGTAGGAATTGCGGTGTCGGCGCGGCGCACCGCGTGCGAGTGCGACCGGGATCGGCGCGCACAACGAGAAGGGGGAAGCCGCTGGTTTCAGTCTGCACAGATCGAGCGCGTGGCGCCGACGTGGCCGTTGGTTGGTTTGGTTGGCACCGTCGTCGTGGATGACCGGGGAGGACGCGGGCGGGAAGGAAGCATGGGCTTTGGCCGTTTGGCGCAGCGGTGCACGTGACGGCGTCTGCTGAGTGCTGACTAGCTCATGCGTCAACGAAAGGAAGCGACCCAGATCCAGCTGCCGGCAGCCGGCGGCCGTGAAGACAGCAGGCTGCAGCATGTGTGTGTGTTCCGAGGGAGAGCAGCCCCGTTCACTCTACTGAAAAGTCATGACTGAAATTACTATTCGCTAATTTATTGTGAGAGAAAAACACCGTTTTTTTACTAAAACAGTACGGCTCATAAGACAAGCGATCAGGATCGGGTGCAGGGGTGAATCTAGAGCTGTTTATCGGGTCCGTCGACCCGACAAAATTTGTGAATCCTTTAGTAAAGTACTGTTAAAACTCAAACAAAATTATATCATATAATGAAGCTGACTCCGATGGTATTTTTAGCTAGATTCGCCGGTGCTGGCCAGCAAATCTCTCGCCAGATAAATCTTCGTTCCGAATAATAACAGTATTGCTATCTATCACCCGGTTAGTTTGCTATCTATCACCCGGTTAGTTTAGGAGCTTGTATCAACTGATTTTTGGGCCGTTCGTTGCCGTCCGCCGATGGCTCAGGCCGTCCGATGCGTCCGCCATTGTTAGGTGTATGCATTCATCATCCGTGCGCGCGTAGTAGGTGGTAAAAATGGAGCAGCAGCCGCCATGCCTGCTAGCGGGGCGCGTGCACGCAGGAGATCCGATCCAGGACACGTCGCATGCAGTTAGCTGCTGCGTGATCCGATCCGGGACACATCGCATGCAGTTCGTCATGCACGCTTCTCGCTATAGAAAAAATTATAAATTTGTAAGTTTGTGAACAATTTGATGATATTTGTGAACAATTTGATATACACTTCTCTGATATCTAGAATCTATAAAAAAAATATAATTTTGTTTGAAAAAATTGGTATATATTTGTGTTATTCCCAAATTACATCATTCTGTTCAATAAATTACACTAAAAATCATTGTAAATATAGTAATAAAGCAGTGTAAATATAGCTAGAAGACGGTGTAAGTACATGGAAAAAATTCAGTTGACAGGGACAACGAAAAATGTCATTAACAAGTTCTATTTGTGATAGAGATTCAGAGAATTCATAAAATCGACCCTTTTGGAAACACTGTCCGGGCTGGCCAGCGCTTCTGACTTCTGAGGATGCAAAAACAAACATGCCACAAGACTCGTACTAAGATCCTAAGCGCGTGTTTAGTTTCACCCCAAATTTTCAAAAAGTGCTACAGTACCTATCACATCGAATGTTTGCGGCCTATACATGGAGCATTAAATGTAGACGAAAAAAAACTAATTGCACAGTTTGGTGGGAAATTACGAGACGAACGTTTTGAGCCTAATTAGTCCATGATTGAACACTAATTGCCAAATAAAAATGAAAGTGCTACGGTAGCCCCAAATTCCAACTTCCTGAAACTAAACACGCTCTAAGAAGCAATTAGCTAGACGCCCAACCAGCGAATTTGCTTATGTTTTTTTTTGAGTGGAAGCGAATTTGGTTACGTGTGCTATAGATGGCCAAATGGGCCAATGCCCAATGAACCGGGCACAGCCCCAAAAGCACAGCCTTAGCCCAGTATCGCACGATGTCCATAGTGCTCGAGCTGGAATGGGCATAGACATAGGGTCGTGTCTAGGCCATGAGTCTGGTCCACAGTGCCGGCACGGGTACGAGTATTAGGATGTGTCTAGGTTGCGACTCCGGCCCACGGTGTTAGTAGGGGCACGTCATGACTAATAGGCTAGAATGATGACGACCCGATTGACTTGCAACATTTCTCACCGTTAGATGTAGCTTTTGATTGATAGAAAACTTAGATATAAAATCAACTTCCTCCTCATTCTCTCGCATTCTCCTCCTTCCCAGCCGCCAATTTCTCTCGCTCGCCTCCAGCTCCAGACCACAAAGCCTCTTGCTCCCTAGGCTGGCGGCCGATGGTCCCAGGACACTCCCTGCCCACTCCCTATGCTATCTTCTCCTCTAGGTCACTTCCTACCCCTCTCTCAGTGGCGACGACAACCTTGCGTGAGGCGCGACTATGACGATGGCGGCGCGGCGGCATGATGGGGCAACTGCAACCTGCGGTGATGGTGACAGTGCACCGCTAACTCGGGTCGTCGTGCCCATCGGCACGCCTTAGTCCCTTAGGGCCGTGTCTGGGCCGAGGGTTGGACACTACGGCTCGACATGACACGAGACAAATAAGTTATAGTGTCTAATTAATAGTGTATGCCCAATAGTGTCGGGCTACCCGTTTGGCCATCTATAATGCATACCAGGACCCTGAGAAATGGACCCCTTTAAAACTCTGGAATGTTTACACTTAAAATATCATATTATTTATAATTACATATCGTATAACCAACTAGTTTGGACTTTGGACTTTGGAGTGATAATAATAATGTCCTTGAGCCCTCGAGGGCAATAAAAAACTGTGTTCTAATAATAGTAATAATGTCATATCGTATAACCAACTAGTTTGGACTTTGGACTTTGGAGTGATAATAATAATGTCCTTGAGCCCTCGAGGGCAATAAAAAACTGTGTTCTAATAATAGTAATAATGTGTAGAGTGTAGTAGACAATCTCTCGTCGTCCCATCGCACATGAGTACATGACACACCCTTGGCATGCACATGCTTTGCCAATTATTAGCCAGGCAGCTCGCGATCATTGTACACCACTTGGCCGTTGTACACCATGTACGCACGCAGCGGTGCCAGTGCAGCACCTCCTCATGCTGTCATGCATCGCCGATCTGCTGGAGGTGGTGGTCGGTGTCCTCCGGGTGGTCGTGCACCTCCCCAGTGCGCGCGCGCGCACTATCGATTCAGGTTCTTTGCCGAGTGCCCAAGCACTTGGCAAATGCCAAATTGTACTTGGCAAAGCCTTTGCCGAGTGCGGCACTCGGCAAAGAACACACGGCAAAAATTTGATCGGCAAAGCCTTCTTTGCCGAGTACCCCGGGACACTCGGCAAAGAAAAGCGACCGTCACGGCGCCGGTCTCGTTGACGGTCACTTTGCCGAGTGGCAACCCTGCAGGCACTCGAAAAAGATTTTTTTCTTTTTTTAAAATAAATTTTTTTGTCGAGTGCCAACCCGTGAAGCACTCGGCAAAGATTTTTTATTTTTTTAAAAAATTTTCTTTGCCGAGTGCCAACCCGTGAGGCACTCGGCAAAGAGGTTTTATTTTTTTTTTGAAAATTTTCTTTGCCGAGTGCCTGGAGGGTTGACACTCGGCAAAGAGCTTTTATTTTTTTTTGAAAATTTTCTTTGTCAAGTGCCAACCCTCCACGCACTCGGCAAAGATTTTTTATTTTTTTTTTAAAAAATTTCTTTGCCGAGTGCCAACCCGGAAGGCACTCGGCAAAGAACTTTTATTTTTTTTGAAAATTTTCTTTGCCGAGTGCCAACCCTCCAGGCACTCGGCAAAGATTTTTTATTTTTTTGTGGGAAATTATTTGCCGAAAAGCTAACCCGGAAGGCACTTTCGGCAAAGAGCTTTTATTTTTTTGAAAATTTTCTTTGCGAAGTGCCAACCCGCCACACTTTCAAAGATTTTTTTATTTTTTTGAATTTTTTCTTTGCCGAGTGTTATAGTCACAAAGACTCTAAAAGCCGAAAAATCTGTTTTCTAGTCGCCCATTTTTCCAGCTTGCCGAGTGTTGTGACCATTGCACTCGGCAAAGGGGTCCTTTGCCGAGTGCAACACTCGGCAAAGTGACCCAAAACGGCAATTTTTTTTTGCATTCCATCATGACAAATACATTCATACAAACATATATCACATATATATCTCATCCATCGCATATATATCTCATCCATCACATATATATCTCATCCATCCACACATCCATCCGCCCATATCACATCCATCACAATATATAATAATAAGTGCTCAAGTCCATCCAAATAAGTCCACAAGTCCATCAAAGTCCACAAATGCATCACAAGTATATCACAAGTCCATCACCAAGTGAACAACAAATGTAAAAAATACAACATGCACTCATCTCGGCCACTGCGACTGTGGTGAAGGCCCAGATGCATCATTCGTAGGTGCATAAGGTGGATTATTCGAACCACCGTCAGATGGAGACTGCACAAAGGAGAAAAGATTGCATGTGAAGACAAGATTATTTTGATAGCTAATCTAGGACGATAGAGGGCATATAAGCAAAGCATAAGCGAAAGTAAAAACTTTGATACTCACGGGAGTAGTGCGCAATTGCAGGACGCGGAGGCGGAGGTGGAACCAACAGCCAGTGGCGCGAGACAAGCCCATCGTTGCCCAAGCCCTTGTAGGAAATCCGTAATATCCATCACCTCGTGCTTGGGCACGCCAGCTCGGCCCTTTCGGCCTCCACCGTGGGCCCTCACCATGACGTTCTTTCATTTCTTGTTCCAAATTGGCCTGCAATATTTCACTCAATGTTTCAAGAATGCAAAGATAATTAAGGTGTGTAAAGATCAATGTATGACGAAATAAAACAGAATAACCTCAAGTCGCGTCGACCCGGTCTTTGCAAAATGTGGTCGGTGGTAGTGTCTTGAATGGCCGGGCTCTTGCTCATGCTCCGTGCTCGGATCTGGGAGAGAGAGGGAGTAGAGGCCGTGTCAATGACGTCGTCGCCAAGCCAGA